GGGGGGGGAGGCTTGGAGGAAGAAACCCCATCGATTCTTTCATCTTTCGTTCGAGGCCACAACTGGCCGTAGGAGGGAGGCGCTTGCGGGCGCTGGGGCTTCGTTTTGTGGCTGGGAGTGGAAGTCCTGATTTCTCAACGTGGCCGAGGTTAAGAAACGTGGCTGCAGGAGGGATGGGAGGAAGTGGCTGTAGCTTGTGGGGTCCCTGGAGTTTTGGTCGGCACTGATAGCGTTACCCAGTTGAGTCATGAAACGTCTGCAAGAAAACCACCAAGCTCAGAGAGCATCAAGGGCCCCACAGTCCTCTTCCTCCTCCTCCTCCTCCCCATTTCTTCCCCTTCTTCCTCCTCTTCCTCCTCCTCCTCCTCCCTCCAGTCCACAAACCCCACTCCAATCTGGCACCGACTATGTTAGCTAGGTTGGTAATGAAACATTTGCAAGAAAACAACCAGACTCAGAGAGCACCAGACCCCATAATCCTCCTCCTCCTCTTCCTCCCTGCCCCTCCTCCCCTCTGCAAATCCCTCTTCCTCCTAGCACTGATGATGTTCCCTAGTTCGCCAGTGAGATGTTTGCCAGAAAACCACCAAGGTCAGAGAGCATCCAGGGTTCACCTGGCTTAAGGACTTCGCTCGCCTGCCTTGGGCTGTTCCCCAGGGGAGCCATCCGCCTTTCTCCTTGACTTGGATAGCGCAGCGAGACACCTGGGCCTCCAGAGCCCAGCAAAGGTGGATGGAAGCCACCTTTACACCTGCTTCTGCCCGGATTCTCAGCTGCTACGAAACCTGGCCCTCCTCCTCCCGTCCTCCTTGCTCCTCACCTGCCGTCTCTTTTGTCTTTCAGGCTGGAAGGAGGAGGCACCCTGGAGGGGACCCCAGACCCTCCATCAGAGGCCGGCACTCCCAGCCCTGCCAACAGCAGCGCCAACTGCCTGCACACAGGTGCCTGGTGCCCACAGATGGGATGATGGCGCGGGCGGGGTGGGAGAGTGGGCGGGGGGGGAGTAGGGGGCAGCTAGCCCCAAGGAGCCTAGGGAGGAGGGGGCAGGAGGTTGGGAGGGGCCCAGGGAAGAGGCTTGGCTGGGTCTGATGCCTTCCTTGGGTGAGTTTCATTCGGCTCCTTCAGGTGACTGAGAACGGAAGGGTGAGGATTAAATGGGGGTGTGTGTGGGGTCTCTTTCCCCGCCAGCTGGTGGGAATCTCTCTCGATTAGGGCCAGAAATCCAAAAATCTCAGGGTTCTCAGCCTCGGGAACTAGCAGCTGTGTTGACTACAACTCCCAGGATTCCCCAGCCACGCTGTCTATCTCTGTCTAGATCAGGGTTGGCCAAGCTTGGCAACTTGTGGACTTCAACTCCCAGGATTCCCCAGCCAGCCGCGCTGGCTGGGGAATTCTGGGAATTGAAGTCCACAGAGCTTCTAGGTCCCAAGGTTAAGAGGAGGCAGAGATTTCATGCATTCCACCTCTTGTGGCCCCCTACTAAAGCCCCACTTTCTCTCCCCCCCGCCACCCCCAGGGGCCTTGCTCTCCAGGCCCACCGAGCCGCCGGCCCAGAGAATCGACCACTACTTGTCCGCCTTCCCCTGGTTCCACGGTCCGATCTCGCGGGTCAAGGCCGCCCAGCTGGTCCAGTTGCAAGGCCTGGAAGGACACGGCGTCTTCCTCATCCGGCAGAGCGAGACGCGCCGGGGGGAGTACGTGCTGACCTTCAACTTCCAAGGCAAAGCCAAGGTGAGCAGGCCGCGCTTCCCTCCCCCCCCCAGGTGGGAGTGTAGATCCACCCCAGGTGGGCCTGGAGGACTTCAACTCCCAGAATTCCCCAGCCAGCTTTGGATTCTGGGAGGGGAAGTCCGCCAGGCCTAAAGTGGCCACGGTTGGAGCCGATTCTGCTTAGGAGACAGGCCGAACCATCGTTCGTTCTGAAACACACGGCAGTCCTTGACTTGCAACAGTTTGCTTAGTGGCTGTTGAGCGACTGAAGGAAAAAAGAAAGGACTTGTGACCGGTTTTTCACACTTACGACCGTTGGAGGCCGTGTGATCAGAATTTCAGGTGCTTGAATCGTTTCACATTTACGACGATTGCAGCGTCCCGCAATCCCCTTTTGCGATCTTCTGACAATGAGGAAACCAGGTTCACTTAACGACCGGGTCACTAAAGTGACGACCGCAGGGATTCGCTGAGGAACTGTGGCAAGAGAGGGGATCAAACGGGACAAAACTCACTTAGCCAACGTCTCACTTAGTGTCAGAGGGTGCTCCGCTGAAAATCCAAGAAAGACACCCTTAGACTCCATTGTTACGGAGAAAATAAACACATCATTCTTATCCTTAGTTTTTTCTAAGCTGATATATAATAAACAATCTAAAGAGTAAAAATATAGATAAAACCAATATATTTAGGATCCACATGGTATTTCCCATTCCCCTACTTTAATCATAATAGAATATTCTCATTATACAATTCTGGTCCTTTTTTTAAAAAAAAAAACATTTTTTATTTTATTTTACAACAAAGCCATTTTCCAACTATACAGGGTGTCAACAGTTAGGGTTATATATCAGGGTACATATATCCTGTGCAAATATTTTGTGTTTAATGTATCTTTCTTGCTATGATTACATTCGTGTTAAAAACTACTCAGCCTCATGTATCTTATCCTTGTAACCATCTTAGTGCATTTTAAAGCTTTCTAGTCCTCATGGAGGCCGAGAAAGCGAGGGAAGTAGAAAGCAGGATTGCTAGCGAGGGTGAAGGG